CTTTTGTCCAGGAAGGTTGTAACTTGAGCCGGGTTTTTCTGAGCAGAAGCTTTCTGATCAAACAAATTAAACACAAATTATTTTATGGAAGTGGGATCTTGGATTCGATTCCCAGAAATGACAAATAGAGTTTGAAAAAAAATAATACTACTTAACAATTGAACTCCTCAGCAATATGTCAACTCTAGAATTTTAATTAGCACATTTAGCATTGTTTATAAATTTTCTAGTCTTCTTCTCGTTTCGTTGAGGTTCTCAAAAAAAAAAATATATATAAAAATTTCTGGTCTTCAGTATTTATACATATCTCACTTATCACATATTTAAGATTATTGAATAAATTTATTCAATAAATAACTAGGCACATTTCCCTCGCGAAATGTTTATAATTTCTTGTTTTAGGTAATGTGCATGATCTATGTTTTATAATCTGGACTCTGCATTTAGTCTGTCGCAAATAAATAATGTTCAGAATGACTCCGAACTTTCAGGATTAAGAACAGACATACGCATGTGTTAAACATGATTAGTAATTATAACTAGCTTCTCCGCACGCGCTTCCGCACTTGCGAGATGTTTTTATTTTATTTTTAATAAATAAATTTATTTTAGAATTAAAAAAGATAATGGGTAGTTGTGTTCCATAAAAATAGGATCCATTATCTGATTTTTCTTTTAATTTTATTTTTTTTGATATGAAAAAGTGTGAATTTACCATATTATCCTCATTTAATTAATAATTTCAATTCTTAATGTTTGCATTAACCAAGAGTATTTTTTAGTATTTTGAATGTTTCACCATTCTCTGCCTTTTGCTTTATATATATAGATTAGAAACCCCTTTAGATATATAAATTGTGATGCCAAATATATAATGGCATGCAAAAACGTGATGAACAACCAGTGCGCATGCATAAATAAGTTCCTCTACGAGCAGTTGGATTGGGCGGTCGAAATGTCAACGGCTATACATATAGATATATATTTCATATTTTATTATATGAGGTAAATAAATGAGTGAGATTCAATAAAAAGTGTGTACACCACTAGAATATATAACATAGTTATTACATAATTTAATTTGTTAAGAAATTCAACATTTAGAGAGTGTGTGTGTTTTACGAAAACAAAATAATTTAATTCTACTTTTTCCTATTGGTGCATGCAATGGCGCATCCAGAAAATTTTATCAATGACTACAAATGCTTTCATTAGTAGCAAAAAAAACAAAAAAACAATATTATCAATCATAATTATAATGTTATTATTAATACAGTCAAATACATTTTTATCAATGTATACAACCTCTAACAACTAAGTCGTTACAGAGAGGACACATATATAATAGACTAGAATAAAATTTGAAATTTGAGAAATTAGAGCTATTAGTTAATTTCTTTATTTTTTTTTAATTTTAAATGACTCTCAAGAACGACCCATTTTGAGGAACTCAATTTGTTGCCCACAAACCAACTTAGTTGATTGCCCCTGTATACCTACCTCAACCCCTTAAGTGAGGTATTTTATCAAACATGTTGCCCCCACACTCAAACAAATCAACATAAAATTGCGAAGCAAGTTCATGGTGGAGAAAAGGCAGTGAGGGCAATGGCCTTCACTGGCCCCTTGCTAGATTCGCCAGTGGGTGCATGAGTGTAAAACCATTTGGGTGTAAAAGTCAGTGTAGCTCATATATGTATACGCAGAGAGACAAGCACACACCACATCATAACATAAATTGTTTTTTTTAGAGAATCTTGACGATACGAGGGAAGATGTTATTAATCATCAATAGGAAAAAAGGGAGGACTTGGCGCCTTATCCCGATTATTAATTAAAATGTCCTTAATAATATCTGGTGATTCCTCAACCCACTCAATTGCTTGTTTTTAAAAAAATGAATAAATAAATAACTCAACATTGACAAGCTAGTTTCAATATATTCCCATAAAGCTCAACAAATTATAAGCTATATATATATATATGGAGCTTCAGTTGAATGATCCCTCAAATAAGCTTATTTGAGGGACACCTTTGTAGGGCCCACTCTGTATTGTATTTCACCAATCTAAACCGTCTATTTTGTAGACACTCATTCAAAGATAATCTCTACAATAAATCACTTGAATCCGATATCATTTCACCACTCAATTGAATTATTGAAATTTTAGTACTTTCTTGAAGCAACATGTTCATTGATTTTGCAGAACACAAATGGATTTCGAAATGGTTTCCGATTTGTCTAATTTTTTGCAAAGATGATCTATGAATGTAGACTTAAAAAATCAATAGTTTGGATCATTGAAAAAAAATTCGTACGGGACCCTTAAGGGTATCCCTCAAATTTTGAGGAATCCCTCAATAGAAGGGGACTATATATATATTCCATTCAAGGGACATTTAAACCAAATCCTCTTCTTAATTGTTTTTTATTTATTGGTTAAGCTCATCCTCTTCAATTATTCACACGAAGTTATTGTATTGGAGACAAGCTTATATTATTTTGAGACGAGAACAAAAGTCTTTAGATAACCTTAATTAGTTGTCCTACTTTGTCTTATGGAATATAAACCTCGCGGCATATATGCATAAACTCTACATTCTAAATCTTTGTTTTTTAAACTAAAAAAAAAAAAGTGGTAGTATATTATTGATGAACAAACAAAAGTATAAAGCAATTATGTGTCGAATATGGGTAAATATTCTCCGGTGACTAAATACAACAACATGTTGAATTGATTTGGAGAGAATCACACACAACCCAAATAATGACTAAATCCCCGATCCAGCAACCAAAAGCACATGTACTCAGACCTACAATACAAATTTGTCGCGCAACAGCAGAAAACGGTAAATCTGTATCTAAAGTATATATGGTCAAATTATCATGTTTTTATATATACATGCTCATAATTATTATTAATATGGGATATAATTAACCTCATTCATTCCTACCCATCTCCCTAATAATTAATTAATTAATTATCTTGTGTTTGAGTTTGTGACTCTCTGTACTCAAAAAGGGCTAGTTGATTTTATTTTAGTGATCGGTTTCTAAATACAGATAATTATTCTAATCACGGGATGTTCTCGAATTAAGGGCCAGGATATGACATAAATACCCTCGGATTAAAGGACAACATACGAGTTAAAATGTTGACTTCGTAGATTGTCGTACAGTAATTGGTCAGTTTCAAGAAGAGGTTGAAAATTTGGATTGGTGGACAGGCTGTAGTATTTGTTCTTACACATCAGCAATGACACGTCAAAATAGGCCGTGAAAAAGCAACAGTTTTTATGCTTTACGTAGATGATCACACGCTGAAGAGTGTTTCAAATTTGACCCTTGCATTTGTGTGAAAGAGAAAAATCGACCTCTTTTGGTCAAATTGGCAAAGTGGGTCGACACCCAACAAGTGAACATTCAACCCTTATGTTTTTTATATAAGCGATAATTATTCTAAATTAATATAATTAACAGAAAGCAAAAATTTGAGTGCAAGAGACATGCTTATTAATAGATTCGTTAGAGCATCTTCAAAGGAGATGATAAATAAAAATAACAACTGAAATTTACTCCAATCGAATTGCTATAGTCTAGGTGAAATGGTGTATGCTGTCAAAATTGCCGTCAAGTGTTGGAGACATCTTTTGATTGTTTTATTATTTTTTCGCCCATCTGGTTGAGGCTTTATCCTTTCATTTAATACTTATCTACATTTTTATCTTCTTGTTATTATTTCATGTATCTACTGTCATTATATGCTTTCATTATTATTTTCCTTTTTAATTCTTTTCCTTTTTTATCCTTTCATTTAATACTTGACACTGCAATATTATCGCCGTTGAAAATTTATATATGTTGATATTTTTTATGTTCTTTTCATCAACCAACGTGGAGATGGATGATTTTTTTTGTTTAATTATATTTATGTTCCATTTTATAATTCATTTATAAGTATTTTAACTTGATTAATGAATTACTCTTAATAGTAAAATATAAAAATACATTCATTTAAGAAAGTAATAAAATAATATTTTAATTTGACATATCGGGTGGGGTGTAAAACTATACAGGATGTCAAATTACCACATTAACCATCAAATTTAAATTTAATATTTGATATTTGACATCTCCCTTGAAAATGCCCGTAGGAGAGTCTTGCTTTTTTAATATAAGAAGATGATTGGAAATGGGAAAAGGGTAGTGTAACATGACATATGCAATTACTTAAAAAAGCAAATTAAGATCAGACGTAAGCATACGGGTAATTATCAAAGTAAGCATAATAACAATGATTTCCTCCTTCGGTCCAATAAAAAAAACAAAAAGAGTATGATTTCCTCTGGTCACCAACTTTGATTATTTGACCGATCTATACACAACGAATGCATATGAAAATATCAAGCAAAAATGTTAGGCGCATTGATTTGAATTTGAAACTAACTAATCACAAATCGAATCAAACCTTCTGAACACGTCATGAAATTAAATCTACTTCATTCAATTTTTGGGATTGGACCTAAATAATAGAAGAAAAACCTAAACTGATGCATGTCAATTACCAGCAAACTTTAACCGCCAAAAACTTGTCAACTAACACGTGTTAAAGCCTAATCATGCCATGGTGGCAAGTATGAAGCAGTGCAGCCATGCATAATATATCTGCATCATTTGAGAATTTAAAAATATATATATCTATATATATCTATATAATATACGTGAGCTTCCTGGATTTTGCCTCCTCCTCATCGTGCAGGGGAGGAGAACACAACGCAAGTGAACAAATTAGAGCACGAGGTGTTCAATGCCAGCTAACAAATTTGAAAACCCTGATCTGACGTGTACCTCTATGATCACTAATATAAGTGGGCCCCAAAACGCACTCTCTTGAGAAAAAAATAATAATGAAAAATCCCACACAATGCAAACACACCGTCCTCTCCACTTATATAAATTGCCATAAGCAATCACACACTTCTCTCAGTCTCAGCTGCTCTCTCTCTCTCTCTCTCTCTTCTTCCTCCTCCTTAATAATTTCTCACCCACCTCCTCCAAGACTCTACCCAAAAACCTTTTAGCATTTCCACATCGGTGCACAACATCCCAACTTTTGTACCCCTTGTATTTCTAATTGTACCACCTTTTCCTAGGTAGCTAGCCTTTTTTTATTTTCTTTTCATGGGTAACGCTGATTATGTATACCCTTCAACAAATGTGGAGGGTCAGTCTCCTCACCGAGTTGCAATCCCTCCACCACAACCCTTCGTCAAAACCCTGAAAAACTCTCTCAAGGAGACCTTCTTCCCCGATGACCCTTTGAGGCAGTTCAAGAATCAGCCAGCTTCAAGAAAGCTTGTTCTTGGCCTTCAATACTTCTTTCCAATTTTTGAATGGGGGCCTCGCTACACGCTTGACTTCTTGAAATCCGATCTCATCTCCGGCATCACCATCGCCAGCCTCGCTATCCCTCAGGGGATTAGCTATGCCAAGCTTGCAAACTTGCCACCAATTCTTGGCCTGTGTGAGTAGCACTTGTACAATTCTATAGTTTCTTCTTCTTCATTTCTTTCATTTGGTTGTTCCCACTCTCAGTTTTTCATCGTTCATTTTGTTATGCACTAGAAAATAAATTAATATTTATAGGATACATGTTGCATGTGAGAGTTGGGGTTGTGATCAGTTATTATAAACTTCGTGTTAATTATAAATAATATAAATATTTTTTTTAATGCAGATTCAAGCTTTATTCCACCATTGGTTTATGCCATGATGGGGAGCTCAAGAGATTTGGCTGTGGGGACAGTGGCCGTGGCTTCACTTCTCACAGCTTCAATGCTGGGGGCAGAGGTCAATGCTATGGAGAACCCTACCCTTTATCTTCACCTGGCTTTCACAGCAACCCTCTTCGCTGGAGTTTTCCAAGCTTCCTTGGGCTTCTTGAGGTCAGTAGTTTTCTTATATTTTCCTACCATAAATATCTATTATGGTAGGTTTAGTGCAGTAATTAGCTAATTAGACGCAACTTAATAGATTTAAGTAGTAGGAACAATAAGGCAAATGAGCTCAAATTGATGTAGAAAAGGTAAACATTTTGTACTTGCTTTCTGGAATTTTCGTCTTTTAGCACAATTTAACTTTTTCCTGTTCAATAATTAGACTAATGAGATTCGATCGCTCACTGTTTTCAAGATTCTGCAGACACCGATTGATCCACAGCCAGCTTCACAGATTTCTAAATATATATAATATTTATAAATAAATAAAAACCATACTCTGATAGGGATACAAGGATATAAATTAAATTTGATTTAGAGAGGTTTTTTTTTCCAATTTTGTTATATTTTTTAAACTATTCTAATATACGATAAGGAGGTTTGAACTTAGCTTTAAAGAAACGGACACACTTACCTTGATTAACTGACCTATCCCGCATCTGGTATTATTATGTGTTTTGCATGAATGAATATATATATATATATACATATATGTATATGATTGATTGATTGGATTGCAGGCTGGGTTTTATCGTGGATTTTCTATCACATGCAACGATAGTAGGGTTCATGGCAGGGGCAGCCACGGTGGTGTGCCTGCAGCAGCTAAAAGGGATTCTTGGGCTTAACCATTTCACCCATGAGACCGACGTTGTGTCAGTTCTGCGTTCTGTCTTCAGCCAAACACATGAGGTTGGTTGTCTTGTCCCTTTCCTCCCATTTCTCAGCCGCGCAAAATTAATCAAACTGCCTTTCTTTATGTTTAATTTAAGTCATCAAGTCTTGTTTTGGGACACCCTAAACTTTTGTTAATCACATGCATTATATGTTCACACACACACGCATATATGATCGTGAAAGAATTTGACACGTGTTAGCGTCATGGTATGGATATCTTCTTAAATTAAAAGAAGAAAAAAAAGAGTTGAGGGGTCATTTTCTAAAACCTAAAGTGTTTGTTTTTATTTGACAAAGGCTACGGAAGAATTTAATTAAACAAGAAAGTTTGAATATGATTTGGATAGAATTTTATTGCTCAAAGTGGGTTTGAGTTTTATAATTCCTTCTAACCATGATTGGTGGTTGTTGGTTGCAGTGGAGATGGGAAAGCGGAGTTTTGGGATGTTTATTTCTCTTCTTTCTCCTCGTCACCAAATACTTTGTAAGTGAATATCGAACCCAGATCTTTAATTTCCCTTGTTTATTATATTAATCTCTGATACTTATTCTTTAATCCTGACATGTTTTCTATTTAATCCAACAATCTGTAACGCAAGTATATGCCTGATGTGATGCCCCAGCAATTTTTAAAAAAAAATAACAGAGAATTGGAAAAATGGTTGAATTCGATTGGATTAATAATAGAAATAAAGTTCCAATTAGTCAAAAAAGTTTCAAGAAACTACATAGCATCCGACTTTGTAGACCCCTCTATTTTCCATGGGTTGAAACCAACCAACTTCCTTTTTTAGACTTCCTTTTTGTTAGATCAAAATTCTCGTTTCACTTTCAACTATAACCTGCTCCCACTTCAAATTAAGTAACATAAACTTTCAAAGATTATTGACTCCGGCCCAGCTGCATGCACCTCGTTAAAATAACGAGCAATGCTAGGCATATTATATTTGCATACCAATACAATGGGGTTCATTTTTATTAGAAAGGTGTATATAAATGTGGATTAGCATTTTTTGTAAAATAATAGTAGGATTAATTAATCCATGGCTGCCAATATATTAAGCATTGTTTCTTTGTCAAAAAGAAAGGTGAATTTTAAAATGCTAATGTGGCTGATACAGTTTCTTTGTCAACATGGTGATGCAGAGCAAGAAAAAACCCAAGTTCTTTTGGATATCAGCCATGGCACCTCTCACATCAGTCATATTGGGAAGCGTTCTGGTTTATGTCACCCATGCTGAGAAACATGGCGTTGAAGTGGTGAGCAGTCCCATTTTAGAACTCATTTATTTATTTTTCTCATTATGTGATTAGATTATTCAAGTGACGAGAGAAATAGACAGAACATAACTCTCAAGAGAAAAACACTAGTACCGGCTTTCCTATCATGTTACAATTGGTATACGTCAAAACCTACCATGTGTTACGAACTCTTATTTATAATTAAGATTCTATGACACATGACATATTTTAACTGGACGGTACGCAACCATGATAAAATTAGAAAAAAACCGAGGAGTCTGTGATCACCAACTAGTGGCCTAGTTAGGAACAGATTGGACCACCATAAAAGTTAAAAAAGCAGGTCCATCTCCCATGTGGTTTGAGAGGCCTTTGGCAAAAACTAGTCTTGGGCCAACCCGTAAATAATTATTTAAGCACTCTGTCTACATTATTGAGCCCCCACCAATAATAGAATTGGGTAGAAATTGTGTGGGCCCCTAAAGTTTGCTATATTTCCCCTATCTCCCATGGCATCAGAGACAGTTCTTCTGGTTGATTGGTCATTGTCAATACCTTTTCCATTTAATTTATAAAAGCTTTTTGTATTTTGTATTTTGTTTTTTACCTAATGACAAATTTTTCTAATTAATGCCTGAATTTTCTGGTGGATATATATATATTTTCAGATAGGAAAGCTGAAGAAGGGGCTTAATCCACTGTCCTTTGGAGACCTTGTGTTTGTGTCTCCTTATCTATCAACAGCTTTCAAAACTGGCGTCATCACTGGAGTCATAGCTCTTGCGGTAAGTAATTAACATAATTCTTTAATTATTGATGTTGGTTAGGCCAGTTGATCACGACAATAAACATGTTGTATTGCAAACCGTTCTTAATTATAACAATTAATGGATTGTGGGTTTTCCTAATTGCTATGTGCAGGAAGGAATAGCAGTAGGGAGAAGCTTTTCCATGTTCAAGAACTACCACATTGATGGGAACAAAGAAATGATTGCCATTGGGATGATGAACATTGCTGGTTCTTGCACTTCTTGCTACCTCACCACAGGTTAATCACTCATCGTACACATTTAATACTAATTAAATTAAGGGGTTTAATCTTAATTAGATTCATTTCATGTTGCTAATTAAGCGAAATTTCTTCATCAATTTTCAGGGCCGTTTTCCAAATCAGCAGTGAACTACAATGCAGGATGCAAGACGGCAATGTCAAACGTTGTCATGGCAATTGCGGTTATGTTCACATTGTTGTTCCTCACTCCTCTGTTCCATTACACTCCCCTGGTTGTGTTGTCTGCTATTATAATAGCCGCCATGCTCGGCCTCATAGACTATGAAGCCGCAATTCACCTCTGGAAGGTTGACAAGTTTGACTTTGTTGTCTGCATGAGTGCCTATATCGGCGTTGTTTTTGTCAGCGTTGAAATTGGACTAGTCTTAGCGGTACGTATCATTGTTGCGTGTGACGGTAATACTATATCTAACAACTTAGAAACTCTGATTAGAACTAATATTTCTTTTTTCTTCTGTGTAGGTTGCAATATCTGTGATCAGGGTACTTTTGTTTGTGGCAAGGCCAAGGACTTTTGTTCAAGGAAACCTTCCAAATTCCATGGTTTACAGAAATGTTGAGCAGTATACCAATGCAATCAATGTTCCTGGAATTCTCATACTTGAGATTGATGCTCCCATTTACTTTGCAAATATCAACTACTTAAGAGAAAGGTACTAATTAATTAAACCTGAACACACTCTTGCATGTTATAATAAAATTTAAAAATAATAATTTGAAAGTTGACCCAAAGTCTTACTTGTTTTCAGGATTACAAGGTGGATAAATGATGAGGAAGATAGAATCAAATCTGCAGGGGAAAGTAGCTTACAATATGTGATATTGGATATGACTGGTAATTAAGGGAAACAAATAGATATATACGAAGAAAATTAATGTGACATTTTTTACGCTGAAATTAATTTGTTTTCTGGCTTAATTTGCAGCTGTTGGTAACATAGACACAAGTGGGATAAGCATGTTTGAAGAGGTCAAAAAGCTTGTTGACAGAAGGGGGCTCCAGGTACAAAAATCTGCAAGTCCCTTTCAATATATCAAATATTTCCTTCCAAATTTCTATTTCATCTGTTTATATAACTCTATAATTTTGTTCCCATTTCTGTGTTTAGCTTGTACTGGCGAACCCGGGAAGCGAGGTGATGAAGAAGATGAACAAGTCAGAGTTGATTGAGAAAATAGGTCAAGAATGGATTTATCTCACAGTTGCAGAGGCTGTTGCAGCATGCAACTTCATGCTTCACTCCACCAAGCCCAACCCCGGCAAAGATCAAGAACCAGCTGCATGGAACAACGTTTGATGGCTTTGGCTGGCTACAATGTGAATTTATGTATCAGAAAGCAATATCCACATAAATATGAAGACTCGTTTGAATTAAGGAGAAATGAATTTCAGGAAACAACGTTAGATGTTAATTTCAGGAAAAAAATTTAAAAAAGGGAGTATAGCCGTGCAGCTATACTGTTTTAATATATTATATTTAAACAGTTTAGCCGCGCGGCCATACTTTTTGCTTTTAGAGAAGAAGAAAGCAGAATCTGATCTCTTTGTATCAGTGTTGAGACAAAGCTGGAGTTCAGCTAACCAAATCAACTACTAGTTAGTGCACAGAGTGTGAAAATGAAAGAGAAGTTTAAAGTCCAAAAGCAGGCGAATGCCATTACATTGCATATATACACAGCCGGGTCTTACTCCTATTACACCAGAGAAGACCTCTAAAATAACAACACTGTAAAACAAAGGGATACATCATCCCTATTCAAAAACAAACATCCCCATATATACAAGCTTCAAGATTCCAACTCCAGTACCACTTCGTGATCCATTCACCATTCCAGTTTTTAATTTTTTTGAATTTAGGACTTCATTCTAAGCCTATAAATGGGTCTTTTTTTAAATGCTTAAGCATATGCTGCCCTTCTCCTCTGTCCTCAACATTGCCTGAATGGCTACCACCAACAGTGCTACTGTGAGTTTGAAGCTCCTGATTGACACAAAAAGCAACAAAGTTCTGTTTGCTGAGGCAAGCAAGGAAGTTGTGGATTTTCTCTTCACTCTTCTGTCCTTGCATTTTGCAACTGTGACTAGGCTCCTCCTCTCCAATGGTGGCATGGTTGGTTGCTTAGGCAAACTTTACGAGAGCCTCGAAAATCTCAGTGACACATACATGCAACCCAATCTTAACGAAGACTCCCTGCTGAAACCCAAGACAACAATTTCTGGCGCTAACATCCTTCAATTGCCAGCCAACAATGACTCGAATGCGCCTAAACGGTTCTACCTCTGTGTAAATTGCAAGCGCCATATTTCTGATAGTCCTGTAACACCTTGTCCAACCTGCATTTCACTCAAAATATCCACCCAGGTGTTTTATGTTGCTCCTCCACCAGAACCTACTGGAGTGACGTGCGGCAATTCCTCTCCTCTCACATCACCACCATCCATCCGTAAAACCCATAAATTTGTTTTCACCTAGTCAAATTTTCCTTCAACATTGTTGCATCCTTCAGCTTCAGTCAATTCATCTCAAAATCGCATCCTGGATACAAGTGGAATATAGATGTGTCAAATTCAAATGATATCCAAAATCGCGTGCACCATTGAACTATTGAAATCAAATGCAACATGTCATAAGTTGAACAATTCATGTCCAGCCCAATGTGGATAGAAACCAGCTTACTTTCCATAAAATTTCCCAAAATTGAAGTACCATTTTTTTTAAATATGCACTTTCGTCGTGAAGCTTGTAACTAGAGTGGTTATTCACACCCAAAATTAGAATTTGATGGTGGCCTTGTTCGTTGAATCAAAATAATATTGATAACTCAAAAGTAAAATAAAAGGAAGTTCAAAAGAGACTCCAGGAGCCACAAACAACTTGCATAATTTTGAAGATAAACCATATATTCAAATACTGGCTCCGCAATTCATCTAAACGAAAATCAGGGGGGGGGGAAAAAGATGCCAGCATAGCCGGGCG